TCATGAAATTGTTTAAGCTATTCCTTATAGAATGTGTTCAAATCTTTTGACTGATGTCCGTAATATCGACGTAATGTCTTGAAAGAATCTTCCCTACCTGTGCCATTAGGAGGCGAGAAAATGACTTAATTTTATTTTATTGTATTTTCGGTTTGGCCTTTTGTTCTGTATTACATTTGTTCTCTTTATCCTTTCTGAAATGATGATAGCATGTTCTTTCATTTTTTTTCTGTTGCTGAAATTAATTTCTAAATGCAAAAGTTTGGCAAACACATGAAAGCTTTTAGAGGCACAATTTTTTTTGGCCAGCCCAATCGCTACCTAAGCCAAATGCTTCCAAAACATGACAGGAACAAAACAAAAACAAAAGCCAATTTTTGGCATATTTTAGTCTATCCACTCTGATCCCGTCTCCAAGTTGGCATCACTCGTTGGCTCATTATAACCAGTTATACATAGCTGGACCTGTTGTCTTTTGCTCTTTTAAAATCTGTTTCCTTTTTTCTGTTAAGTTCCATTGGTCAAAATTGTCATTTGGATAACTTTTTATCTCCATTTCCTAGCTCTAAAATAATGACTTTCTACTTTTTGTGAAAAATGCCATTATGGCGATTCTATAAGAACTATAAGTGGAAGTCAAGGCATGTATTCATTTTGTAGCAGCCATTACCCTTAGTTAATGTGACGGCTGTGCCGAACATAATGCAAAAGTGGGCATAACATTTTTATTAACTTATATAGGTCATTAAACATGTACATGTTGGTAGAGTAACTCTTCCTCTATAGTATCTCTTCTACATCTTTTTTATTGCAGGTAAATAATGGATTCCAAACAGAAGCAATGTGTTGCAGGGGTGTAACTACAGGGGTCACAAGGGTCACCATTGTGACTCTGCCCAATACTCCAGGGGGCCTGTGTGGCTCCCCTCTACACCTAGACATGACGGGCAGCATATAGAGGAAATGATGCCCTCTATGTTTGGTACTGATCACTGACAGTTTGTGAATGAACGGGAAGCTCTGTACAGAGCTATTCCTGTCCATTCATTCCTTGATGCTGAGGTTGCAGAGAACGAGGGATTGAGCTCTGTCATTTCAAAGCCATTGTTTCTAATTTGTAGGGACTCTTTAATGACTGGCATTGTACCACTGGATTGGTGTAAGGTCAATGTGGTGCCTATAATTAAAAAGGGGTCAAAATCTTTACCAAGTAATTATAGACCTGTTAGTGTAACTTCTATAGTTGGGAAGATACTGGAGAGTTTAATAAAAGACCACAAAGAGGAGTTCTTGCTGGAAAAAATATTTTAAGCAACAGACAGCATGGATTCATGAAAGACAGATGTTATCAAACAAATCTGATTTCTTTTTATGAGGAGGTGAGCAAAACCTTGGACAGAGGGGTGGGTGTGGATGTGTGGTATACTTAGATTTTGCTAAAGCGTTTGACACCATTCCCCACACACGGCTAATGTGTCAGGTAAAGTCTACAGGTTTGCAAACATCCGTATGTAAATGGATAGAAAACTGGCTAAAAGATCGTATTCAAAGAGTAGTGGTTATTGATTCATACTCTGGATGGTCTAGGGGTGTCAGTGATGTACCCCAAGGTTCAGTATTATTAGTGGTGTACCCCAAAGTTCAGTGTTATTAGTGGTGTATCTCAAGGTTCAGTGTTGGGACTCTTACTTTTTAATATATTTATAAACAATATAGGGTCTGGGGTTAAAAATCCCATTTCAGTCTTTGCAGATGACACCAAGCTGTGCCGGGGAATAACGTCCTTACAGGATGTCTCCAACTTACAAGCCGACCTCAATGCTCTGTGTAATTGGGGGACTATGTGACAAATGAGGTTTAATGTTGATAAATGTAAGGTTCTGCACTTGGGGGTTAAGAATATGCATGCATCATACACACTAGAGGAATCAATGTTGGAGAAGGATCTGGGAGTTCTGGTAGATCAAAAACTTAATAATGGCAGCAATGCCAAGCTGCGGGTTCTAAAGTGAGCAAAATCCTCTCTTGTATTAAAGACGTATAGACTCCAGAGAGAGAGATATCATTTCCCCGGTACAAATCATTAGTAAGACCTCATCTGGAATATGCAGTTCAGTTTTGGGCACCAATTCACAAAAAGAACATTGGGGAACTGGAGAAAGTACAGAGAAGGGCAACTAAACTGACAAGAGGCATGGAGGAGATCAGCTATGAGGAAAGATTAGAGGAACTGAATTTATTCTCTCTTGAGAAGAGAAGATTAAGGGGGATATGATCACCATGTATAATACATAAGGGGGGATATGATCTCCATGTATAATACATAAGGGGGGATATGATCTCCATGTATAATACATAAGGGGGGATATGATCTCCATGTATAATACATAAGGGGGGATATGATCTCCATGTATAATACATAAGGGGGGATATGATCACCATGTATAATACATAAGGGGGGATATGATATCCATGTATAATATATAAGGGGGATATGATTTCCATGTATAATACATAAGGGGGGATATGATCTCCATATATAATACATAAGGGGGGATATGATCTCCATGTATAATACATAAGGGGGGGATATGATCTCCATGTATAATACATAAGGGGGGATATGATCACCATGTATAATACATAAGGGGGATATGATCACCATGTATAATACATAAGGGGGGATATGATCACCATGTATAATACATAAGGGGGGGATATGATCACCATGTATAATACATAAGGGGGGGATATGATCACCATGTATAATACATAAGGGGGGGATATGATCACCATGTATAATACATAAGGGGGGATATGATCTCCATGTATAATACATAAGGGGGGGATATGATCACCATGTATAATACATAAGGGGGATATGATCTCCATGTATAATACATAAGGGGGGATATGATCACCATGTATAATACATAAGGGGGGATATGATCTCCATGTATAATACATAAGGGGGATATGATCTCCATGTATAATACATAAGGGGGGATATGATCACCATGTATAATACATAAGGGGGATATGATCTCCATGTATAATACATAAGGGGGGATATGATCACCATGTATAATACATAAGGGGGATATGATCTCCATGTATAATACATAAGGAGGGATATGATCACCACGTATAATACATAAGGGGGGATATGATCTCCACGTATAATACATAGGGGGGGATATGATCTCCATGTATAATACATAAGGGGGGATATGATCTCCATGTATAATACATAAGGGGGGATATGATCTCCATGTATAATACATAAGGGGGGATATGATCTCCATGTATAATACATAAGGGGGGGATATGATCACCATGTATAATACATAAGGGGGGATATGATCATCCATGTATAATACATAAGGGGGGATATGATCTCCATGTATAATACATAAGGGGGGATATGATCTCCATGTATTATACATAAGGGGGGGATATGATCACCATGTATATTACATAAGGGGGGATATGATCACCATGTATAATACATAAGGGAGGATATGATCGCCATGTATAATACATAAGGGGGATATGATCACCATGTATAATACATAAGGGGGGATATGATCTCCATGTATAATACATAAGGGGGGATATGATCTCCATGTATAATACATAAGGGGGGATATGATCACCATGTATAATACATAAGGGGGGATATGATCTCCATGTATAATACATACGGGGGATTCGATCTCCATGTATAATACATAAGGGGGGATATAATCTCCATGTAAAATACATAAGGGGGATATGATCACCATGTATAATACCTAAGGGGGGGATATGATCTCCATGTATAATACATAAGGGGGGGGGGGTATGATCTCCATGTATAATACATAAGGGGGGATCTGATCTCCATGTATAATACATACACTGAAATCTGAGTCTAGTAAACATCCCGGGTATGTTAAAATTTGAAACACAAAATCATAAATTATAATTTAATAAATAATCAAAAAAAAAAATAATATAATAATAAATTTAATTCAATAATATAATCAAACCAAAAACACTGAAATGTGAAATAGAGCGCCAAGTTCGCACATCACTGAGCAAAGTCGCAGAATCGTTTTCAGTGTCTGATGAGTAATTTCCCCCACGAATCATTATCACTCAATTCTGCAAGTGGTTCTGATTTACTATCGCTGTTCTCTAGCCGGTCTAAAACCGCTTTTGACCTAAAGGGACGCTTTTTGGACGCCATGGACGTTTCTCAGATTCCAGGCAGAAAGAACAGTAAAAATGCAGGCAGGGCGCCGGACAAAGCACTCGGGACAAATGTATGTGAAATGGTTTGAAACAGGAATGTTATACTATGTGATTTTAGTGAATTTAGTGAATGTCACTTCTATAATTTTCAAATTTCCCGCCAGTTCCGTCCCCCCGTACGTCCCGACGTTGCAGGGAACGGCACCCAGAAGACAGATGCTGGCATCTCCAGAGGACAATACAGGGGACACTGCAGGAGGGACGTCGCGGGAGCGCTGGACAAGGTAAGCGAAGAACAGATCCCAGAGCAGCACTGCAGTGTATTCCCGAGTTTAGCTTGGGGTTACCGCTTGTGGTGCTGAAACTTTACCTCGAACCACACTTGGGAATACCTCCAGGGAGGTTAAGAGAGTTAGAATGGTGAAGATCAGGGGCGGACTGACCATTTGGAAACTCGGGCACTGCCCGAGGGCCCGGGGTCAGTAGGGGGCCCCATAAGATGCCCCTGGTACCTTTTTCATAGGCTTTTTTGAGTTTAGGCAAGGTCACAGGGGCCCCATGATCCCCTATTGCCGGGGCACCATGAGTTGTCAGTCCGCCCCTGACCACTATCGCTGACTGTAGCTGGCAACAGAGAACATTGTATTCTGATGGATGGGAAATCTTCCACTGTCATAATGCAATAGCGCAGTGGGAGGGATTCCCCCCTCAGCAATGACTGTGTTGATGGGGGAAATTAGCAATTTTATTTCCATCAATCTGTGGTCAAAGGAAAGAAAATTGCATAATCTTTGGCCAGCCTTATTATCGGGATGAGTAGTCACTGGAACCAGTGTTCCCCTAGTGCCACGGGAGGGATTGCCTTCTTGTTCTTTTGGGATGCAAATGCAGAGCATGTGATCTCTCCTGACATGGCCCCTGAACTCATCATAGTCTACAGGTGACAGTACACACTGTGCATGTCAAGCCCAAAAGAACAGGACAACGCTCCCTCCCATGGCACTAGGGGTTGATGATCCTAAAGGCCAATATTTTGGGATGAGCCATCACTAGCGGGGGCCCCATGAGTTGTCAGTCCGCCCCTGGTGAAGATCATATGGGTCACATGACCTTCCCACCACCCTAGGTGTAAAGACCCTGTTAAAGGGACACCAGAGCTGGGTGGGAAGGGGGTCAATGGCGGCTTGTGTTTTTACTGACCCCAACCACAACGTAAACCTAGCCTTACTCCAACGCATCGACTTGTTGAGTCAATCTAACTTTCCAACTCCCCTTGTTCTTTAACCACTTCCTGTCCGGACACTTTTACCCTTCCTGTCCAGGGCAATTTTTAGCTTTCAGCGCTATCACACTTTGAATGACAATTGCGCGGTCATGCAATACTGTACCCATATGAATTTTTTACCATTTTTTTGAGACAGATAAAGCTTTATTTTGGTGGTATTTATTCACCGCTGGGATTTTTATTTTTTTTACTATGTAAATGAAAAAGTTCAAAAATTTTGAAAAAAAGTGTTTTTTTAAATAAAATTTTGCAAATAAATAATATTTCATCATAAATCTTAGCCAAAATTTATTCCGTTATTTTTTTAGTAAAAAAAAAAAATCCAAATTAGTTTATAACCAAAAATTATAATTTTTAAACATTTTATTTTTACATTTTATTTTTTTTATATTATTTTTTTATTTTTATTTATTTTTTTACATACTGTCACCCTAGCAGTACACTGTCACCATGGTGACACTGTACTACTTGTGGAGGGTGATGAAGATTTTTTTTTTTTTTTTTTTTACACTGATTGCTTTTACACCCATATAGGATGTAAAAAAGCAATCATTTCTCTTTCTCTCTGTCTGCATTCTTGCAGTCATTGAGAATTACTGAGTGAGCTGTGAGTGGTCACAGCTTGTCACATGGTACAAGGCTGTTGTGAATAGCCTTGTACCATGTGACCTCTGTGATCATTCACAGATTTCACACATAGTAAGCAATGATGTCACAAGTGACATCTTGCTTACTACTTTGCATGTGATCACTGATTGGCCAATCAGTGATCACATGATCGGGACCTCGTACAGAGGTCCCGTCCGACGATCGGTGTTTCACTGTGTCCGGAGGACACAGCGGGCACCGGATCGCGGTGGTGCGCGCTCCCAGGGAGCGCGCACAGCTAGAAAAGGCGGGTGCCGTTTATGGACGACAACCCGACCCTGGACTGCCACCGCCCTGCCGTTTATAAACAGCAGGCGGACGGCAAGAGGTTAATACTTCTCCAAAGGAAGCAATCATTATTTAATGAATTTATAAATTGGAATCTCACCTGATGTGGCCTTTCCAATTTTCCGCTGGAGAACGTTAAAACTTTAAGCGGTGAAAAATGAATCCCTCATATTGACTCCGGTAACAGTTCCGGCTTAACAATTATGGATTACACACGGCTCTTCATTTACAAGGAGCCGCGGTTACACGAAAAAGTTCATCTTTTTTAATAACTATGGTAACTGTTACTGAAAGTGAATTCTACCTTCCGCAGCCGGTTACCGTGGAAGGTGCCTATAATAAGGGAGAAAACAGAAGAAAAAAAGATTGCTATTTTTAAGAAGCGCATTCATAATTTTTAAAGCGTTCTATCTGACAGTCGTAATAAGGACTCTTCCAAACAGAACACCGAAAGTCTTTCTTGGCTGTGTTCCCGTAATAAGGCAGGCAGGAGGATTCCAGGAATAGGTTCCACTTTGACTTTTCTAGTTATTAAAACGTTAGAAAGGCCATACACGATATATATTCTTCGAAACCTGCCACTTCCTTCAATTAGAACCAGACAAAAAAATTCTAAATCCAGGCAAGCAGCTAAATACGCAGATGAAATACAAATACGATAGCTATTTTACGTGCCAAAGGGTTTGTTTTTCTGTCCAGCCCGTCCTGAGATGTATACAGCTCTGCTACACAGAAGATGTAATGATCCACCTGGCGGTACCTCTGGCAGTCCAGCGGACAGGATTCCTCAGAGCGCGGAGTCTAAGTCCCGGTCTACTTGTTCACCAGGGCCCCTGATGGTGGGGATGGACTTGGAGCAGACCAGGACCAGGTCAGGACCTCTGAGTACTCCCACCCGTGGCAGAGGGGTCCGCAGGGGATATCTACAAGAGGAGAGCCTGATGTGAAGAGGCCAAACGGGCCCGAGCAGGATGGATGGATGGATGAATGATAATTTTGTGGTCAGACAGGCTGGGTTGTTACCGTGGGAGCAGCGAGGTACAAGGCGGCAGGCAGAGGAGAGTCGGGTCACACGCAGGGTCAATACCAGAGTTTCAGATTCAATGGGGGCAATCCAAGGAGAGGTCAGGCAAGCCAGGGGTCAGGGCAGGACAATACAGCAAGTCAGAGGCAATCCGGGTCAATCTACACAGGAACAGAAGCAGGGGAACACAGGGAAGACCTAACGGCAACCAGTGGCAGCACAGGGCGTCTTTAAATACCGCGCCCTGCGCTGTCATTGGTGCCCGGCGCGCACCCGCGGCACCCAGTGCGCATGCGCGAGTTCCCCTCCGCTGCGGCCGGCCAGGACCTAGCGCCCGTAGCCCGGCGCGAGCCTGAAAACCCGCGCATGCGCCTGATTGGACGCCGCGGCGGACCCTGACAGAAGAACTCTGGCTAGGCAGGAGACCTGACTTTGCTCTGTTGTAGTTCAGTAATACTAGACATGTGCAGAACGAAAAACCTGAGTTTTGTTTCGATTTGTTAAGCTACTCATTTCGTTTTTTTGCATTGGTAACAAAATATGTTTTACTTAGTTTCATTTCACATATTTGTTTTCGACCGTTAAAATTTTTCCAATGGATTTGAAATACTCAAATGGAATTCAACTCAACAATATTGAATTGATCTAAATTCATTGGGAAGGCTAGCTGGCTCTATTATATTTAAAATTTGAATTTCAGAAGACAGCTATATTTTATTTTGTTCAATACTGTTCTCATTTATTCTATTATTTTTCTATTCTATTTTTTTTATTTTTTATTCTTTTCTATTTTATTCAGTTTTATTCTATTCTATTCAAAATTGGAATTTCAGAAGACAGCTATTTTCTTTCAATTTTATTCTATTCTATTCTATTCTATTCTATTCTAATGAATTCTATTTTTTTTTCCTATTGTTTTATATTTTATGCTATTCCTTTCTATTCTATAAATTTCCCTTCGGTTCTCTTCTCTTTTCCATTCTATTAACTTTTTTCTATTATATTCTGTTTTAATATTTTCTATTCTTTTAGCAATTTGAATTTTGGAAGACAGCTATATTCTTTCAATGTTTTTCTATTCCATTCAATTCAAATTTCATTCTATTTTTTATCTATTCTATTATATTTTCTCTTCTCTTCTCTTTTCATTTTTTCTATTCTATTCTGTTTCATTCTTTTCTATTCTTTTCGTAATTCGAATTTTGGAAGACAGCTATATTCTTTCAATGTTTTTCTATTTCATTCAATTCAAATTTCATTTCTTTTTTTTTTATTTTTTTATATTTTATTCTCTTCTCTTTTTAGTTTTTCTATTCTATTCTGTTTTATTCTTTTCTATTCTTTTCGTAAGTCGAATTTTGGAAGACAGCTATATTTTTTTCAATGTTTTTCTATTGCATTCAATTCAAATTTCATTCTATTTTTGTTCTATTTTTTTATATTTTATTCTCTTTCTCTTCTTTTTTATTTTTTCTATTCTGTTTTATTCTTTTCTATTCTCTTCATAATTCGAATTTTGGAAGACAGTTATATTCTTTCAATGTTTTTCTATTCCATTCAATTCAAATTTCATTCTATTTTTTTCTTTATTCTTTTCTATTTTTCTTTTCTCTTCTCTTCTCTTTTTTTCTTTCTTTTCTCTTTTTTCTCTTTTCATTTTTACTATTCTATTCTGTTTTATTCTTTTCTATTCTTTTCGTAATTCGATTTTTGGAAGACAGCTATATTCTTTCGATGTTTTTCTATTCAATTCAAATTTCATTCTTTTTTTTTTTTTATTTTTTTTATTTTCTCTTTTTATTTTTATTTTTTCTCTTCTATTCTGTTTTATTCTTTTCTATTCTTTTCGTAATACGAATTTCAGAAGACAGCTATATTCGTTCTATCTTATTTTATTCTATTCTATTTTTTTTATGTTCTATTCATTTCTGTTCTGTTCTATTTTATAATTTTCGAAATTCGAATTTCAGAAGACGGCTATATTAACAGTATCCTAGATTGTAAGCTCCAAGGAGCAGGGCCCTCAACCCCTCGTGTATTGTACTGTATTGTAACTGTACTGTCTCGTGTATTGTCTCCCATTAAAATGTACAGCGCTGAGCAAACTATTGGCGCTATATAAATCCTGTATAATAATAATAATACACACAGTCTTTAAAGGGAATTAGCAATATTTATTTTATTTTTATTTTTTATTACAGTTACTTATATAGCACCGTCATTTTGTGCTGCTCTTTTATATATATATATATATATATATATATATATATATTGTACATTCACATCAGTAAAATAATCAAAAAATAATTTGCGCTAGTAAAGTATATCACAATTATACCTGTAAAAATAAACACATTTTGTCAATATGAATCATGAATATAAATAAATAACCGAAATAACCCCCAAAAAAATATGAAAAAAAAATATAAATAAATGAATAATATATATAAGTGTCCAAAAGAAGTCCAAAATGAGATGTGTAAATTCAAGTCCAAAAAAAGGTGCACAAAAGTATGACAATCCACCACCAAAAACACTAAATGAACTCACCAGAGCTAAAAAATGTTTTTGAAGCATATATTGCTCTGGGGGTGATGGTTAGCAGAGTAATGAACCACTCATGGATGTGTCTTCAGGGAGTAATATTCTGCAGAACCCGGCTCCAAACAGACCAATGTAAAGGAGGTAATGATCTGTGATCAAATACCACTAGGAAATCCACTTCTCCAAGATATCACCTTATTCATATCCAAAGAGGTTATGCCAGACACTCGGAAGAAACAACAACAGCTTCATAGTGCAGTATTTTTAAAAACAGCTTAATTTATTATGCACTCATTGCACTTAACTCAAAAGGTGTCCCAGCCGTCACCAGCGTTAACAGCATATAGGAACCACAATGAAAGGAACCCAGCCACTCAGCACATGCGCAGTGGATCGCTGGGAAACGTAATGACGTCACATCAATCGAAGCCCCGCCCTATGCGTTTCGTCATCGACGTCCTCACAGAGCGGATGGATGTGAGACGTCGCAACCTCATTAAATATGCACTGTATTAGGAACGGTCAGCTGTCATCAATAGAGAATCAAGCAGCAACCCGACTCGATGATGACAGATGTCCGTAATACAAAGCCGCATACAAATACAATCTTATAGACATCAAGAGGCAGAAAAAAATATATTTTACATAAAAAATTAACAATAAAATATACAACAAAAATAAAAAATATAATATATATTAAACTTGTTAGAGGGTCAGTCCAAATGAAAGGAACTCTGCACTATCAAAAAGCATATATCAAAATATCACCGCAGTGATTTAAAGGGCCAGTCCAGATCTAAAGGGGGACTCTAACCCTGCAAAAAAATATATTAAAATTAATTTTTTACTTAATAAAAATAAATCCTATAACCATTTGATGTCCAAACTATCCAAAAAAAAACCCTCAACAATCAGATGTACACATAAAAAATCAAAAATTTGTGAGAAAACAATTCAAATCAAGGTTCAACCCATGAGGTTGTAAAGAAATTAGCTCGTAAATCCAATACGTTTCTTTTCTTGATATTTCATTATTAAATCAGAACCCCTCCAAAGGGGTTTGACCATCTCGATTCCATAAATGGTAAGTAAACTAGGATCACAGTTATGTGTTACTTTAAAGTGTTTTGACACACTGTGTTTATCAAATCCTTTTTTAATATTCCCTATATGTTCGCCTATTCT